CCCCAGCCCCACTGAAGGAGCAGTCAGGCTTCAGGGAGAGATGTGAGAAGGGCGAGGTTTGGGGCCTTGTCTAGAGGCGCCTGCAGCGATCCAGGTCTCTGAAGAAGTGGTTTGGACCTGCCCCTGACTTGGCTCACTCATGCCGGAGAGTCATTCCGGGGAAAGGGAGCCGCTTGCGCAGCGTCTGGAGGGGGATGTAGATCATGCGCTTGGCGGAACCCCCGCAGGCTTTTGCTGCTGCTTGGCCAGCCTAGCGCATTCTTCTCCCCTCCCAGGCTTCTCTCCCCAAAGCCTGTGGTCTCGCTGGAAGTCGTGGCCGAATGCCGGAGGACCACACGCCCAGCTTTGGTCACCGGTCCACTAGCTTTACGCAGACACCTGCAAGTCAAACGCTTCCTGCTGCTCAGAAAAAGCCTGTCTTCTGGTCCCTGCTGCTCTGCTGCTCTGGGAACAATGATGGACAGAAACGAAGCACCAGGGAAGGAGGGCCCCCACCGGCCCCTTTCGCTCACTCCTATCGCTTATTCCACGTTGGCACGCTCACCACACCGTTTCAAAGGAACCAGGCACCCAGTGAGGAGGGATAGCAGGTGCCCTGCTGCGCATCCTACCAACTGTGCCCACCGATGGACACCATTCTGTGTGGCTCGCTCTCCTTCTCTATCCTCTTGCTCAGCATTTATTAAATCACACTGCTTAGGTTTCCTATAGAAAGTATTTATAATATATTCCTTAAAAGTTGCATGTTAATGAAGTTATTCTATATTCACTGGAGATAAAGAAATCTATGGAAAATTCTTTTGGGATGGGAGGTCAGCAGTCTGCCCTAGTCTTGGTTCCGGTACTGTGTAAATTTCGATAATGTTTGGGTTGGTTTCCTTATATGTAAAATGAGAAGTTTGGACCAGATGATTTCAGGGCTCCTTAACAAATCTAAAATATCACTAAAGTGTTTTGATATATTATTTGAGATTTTCTTGGTAAAAGATATACCTGTATTTCTACCCTGAAGAATGATTGCAAAGTTAAATTTATTTTTGTCAAAGATAAAATAGACTAATGAAAGACAAGTTGAAACTATGGATAAATAGATAGAAAACGGGGAGACTTTCATAGAATCACTCCCTAGAGAAGATTACTGCCCTGACCCTCCTCCCTCCTCTCCCTCTGCACCCTCCCCCCATCAGCTAGGACCCTCCACAGACAGACATGGAGTTGCAACAGGTTTGTGCGTTTGGACACCAGCCACGTTCCTCAGGGCCCTGCCCTGTAGAGAACTGATCACAGCTGCGGCTGGGAAAGAATTGTCCGTATTCCCAGGTCACAGGGTGGCAAAGTCACCCACTTGTACTAGCCAGAGGCTCCTGCTCAAGCAGCTAAAGCCAACACCGGGATGGGGACTGAGTTCTGGTTTCTCTTACTTCAGAAGACAGATGTTTCCAGCAGTGAAAGGCATCCCAATCTTAGGTGGCCAATACAGCCATGATAATAACAACTACCAATGAGAGAGAAACCTGGATTTCCTCCACGCCCCTACCAGGGTTCTAACAACTGGCTCACAGAAGCCAGAACACGGTGATGTCACCCTGAGCAAACTCCCATCATGCAGCCTCAGACAGAGAAGCACAGGAAAGAGAGTGTGATCCCCTAAGTGTGAGATCCCATTCTGATTATTTAAACGGACATCAGCAGAACAATAAAGGAGGGAATACCAGTTCTAAGCTCTCCCCTTTCTGCAGCCCCTGGCTGTCAAAACAGGCGGGACCTGTTGGTGAGCTCCAGGTGAGCTCCTCACAGCTGAGGAACCAACAGGACTTGCCATTGTGCCTTAAGCCGCTGAGCTACATCACATGACAAGGGATTACAGGAAAGAGCCCCCAGGGACTGAATGCATCTCCCCTTCTCATCCTTCGCTGAAACCAGAGAAAAGTTATTCAACTGTAAAAGCAGATTCACAGCAATCAAGTCCTGCCGGCAACTGTGAATGCAGACAAGCTGGAGTCCCCGCAGCCCTTCTGCGCATGAGCAAGGCGCACACACACACACACACACACACACACACACACACACGCACGCACAGGGGTAGGGGGTGGCTCTACTGCAGTGCTGAGGGACAGCAAAGAGCCACCAAGGCAAAGTAGAGCTGAGACCCTCCCCAGCAGCCCCAACAGAATCCCTACACTCTTAGTTGTTTTGAGTCTGGAGACCACTTCTTCAGTTGAAATGGGAATCTTTAGAGAACCTAAGACCTCTCGTTTCATGCAGTTTCTCTGAAGCAAGAAGAACGTGGGGAGGTGAAGTTTATACCGGAGTCCGAGTGCACTGGGCCTTCCTGGGCTGCACACTCCAGCCTGAGAGGAGAGCCCTGCAGCTGGGCGGAGGGGAATGAGGCGGTTCGGAGTCTCCCTGGAGGCCAGGGCTCTGGATAGCGCTTTCGCTGTGCATCACACTTCACAAGAGGAGGAAGGCAGGCTGGGCTCTGGCCCCTAAGGAAGCAGGGCCCTTTGGGGATCTGGGTCAGTGACAGCTGGGCTCTGTGTGCACCCAGGTGGCTGCTTCTGGATTTTATAAATACTCATCCCTGAAGCCAGGCTCAGCTCTGGAGTAGGAGGCAGCTTTATGGTAAACTGCTAGTTAGAGCCAGTTACTCTGGCAGCCCGGGAGGCTGGGCAGCCCTGCACACACTGCCAGCTAGTCCCCATCCGAGGCTTCCACTCTCATCATTTGACTGAGCTCCTGACCGAGGCTACTGAGTGTGGCTGCTGAGTGAGACCACTCTCCCGTCAACACCACCACGTTGTTTTCCTCGCCACGTGGCAGCTCTGTCACGCCGCCAAACACCACCCTAATGTCAGCCTCTGCAGTGTGCCCTACAGGGAGGCTGTGTGCGTCCCCAACAAAGCACAGGCTAACCACCAGCTCCGGCGACATGGCCTTCAGATCACAGACTCCCAGGGGATGGCTTAAATTGCAACCCACAGTTTAGAAACACTAGAAGGGGCATTGAGCTCCAGACCCCAGTGAAAAGAGGACAAAGAAAACCTCTTCTCATATTAGGGCTGAAAGAATGAAGAGAAAAGAAAATTTGAACCATTGTTTTTCTTTTCTTTTTATTGATTGATTGATTTTTAATTTTTTATTGATTTCAGAGAGGAAGGGAGACAGAGAGAGACAGAAACATCCGTGATGGGAGAGCATCATTGATCGGCTGCCTCCTGCACCCCCCACTTACTGGGCATCAAGCCTGCAACCCAACCCGGGCACGTGCCCTTGAGCAGAATTGAACCCGGGATCTTTCAGTCCGCAGGCCGATGCTCTATCCACTGAGCCAAACCAGCCAGGGCTCTTTTCTTTTTAAACGGTGCATGAGCACACACACACACACACACACACGCACAGCCACAATCAGCTGAAGGACTGGAGCCTTCCTTAGTCCATCTACAGCCCCCAGAGTAGCTGCATTTTCCAGGAGAAGCTTAGAGGACATGGCAACCAGGACAACAGAGCAGTTGGCACTAATTGGCTCTCTGGACACCGGCTTTCGCAGGAGACAGCAGAGCTCCCCCTGCAGGTGGGTCTGCACTGAGCCCAGGCTCCAGGCGGCTGGCCCTTCACGAACCGCATCCTGGAGAATCCTTGTGCTAGTTTCCTGTCACACTCTAAAATATTGTTTTTAATGGAGAAAAGGACAATAGCTAGCTAGCCTGAGTGCCTGCTCTGTGCCAGGTGCTGTCTAGTACTTTGTAGTATGAGCTCAGTTAATCATCAGAACAGCCAGCACTGTCCTCATCTGACAGATTAAAGGCAGGAAGCGCAGAAAGGTGCGTGACCTGCCTACGGCCACAGCTGGTAAGTGTGCGGGCTCAGAGCGGGCTGGAGGAGACCCCGTGCTGGGAAGGGCTGCAGACCCCAGCTGGGTGCTCCCGCCAGACCAGGCCCGGGAAGGGAGGCCCTGGACTCGGGACGGAGAGGTTCCCGCCGCCGCGTGGCCCCACCGACGAGCAGTGCTCCGCGGGAGACGACACCTGCTGGGGGCTGGTCTGGCTGGATGGGCGCCGAGGAGCCTCACAAAGGACCCAAGATGTCAGCAGCGCTGCAGGCAGCTCTGCGGAGGG